TTTTATAAAATCACCAGCATCCTCTTCATAGTTAGCAACACCCAAGACCTTAATATGATCTGCAAATTTAAGTAATTTATTGACCATTCTTCATTTATGTTATTGATGGAATTAAAAAAAGATAAAAGGTCCTAAGACTGAGCCCTGAGGTACCCCACTTGTGACATTAATCCAGTTTTACTTAACTCCATTTGTAACCAATTTGCTAACTTATCCCCCACACCTACAGAGATAATTTTTTTTACAAGCCTTTTAATGCTGCACCTTGTCAAATGCTTATCTTTAAGTTTAATTATATAGAACTTTATTAGAAGTGACAATATTTAGCTTCGTTTATATTATAACCTACCTATAGACTGAATTAAAACTAATGGATCAATGTTCACATCAAGTTAATCCTTAAAACACCAAGAGAAAATAAACTAGTTTCTAGATCGCATTTATTTAATAAAACAAGGTATTTATCCTGCTCTTTCACTTATCAGTAAGTTGAAATATACCTAAGCCTAAAGTACCATTACATGTACTAAGCCTATTTTAACGTTGTAGTAAAATTTCTACCCCTAAACTTTTCAACGTCTTCTCCCTTCTGTTGCCCCCTCTATATATTATGAGACTGAAATTAGTTTCTCCTAGTGGTGACATACAGATATGATTAATGTTGCACAGGAGTATGTAACTTATGTACAGATATTATGCACAGGAGTATGTAACTTATGCACAGGAGTATGTAACTTATGTACAGATATTATGCACAGGAGTATGTAACTTATGCACAGGAGTATGTAACTTATGCACAGATATTATGCACAGGAGTATGTAACTTATGTACAGGAGTATGTAACTTATGATCGCACGATTTGTAATCTCATGATTTAAAACCCTACACTGAGTTGTAACAAGTTAGTTCACGATGTATAGCTGAAGAGTATTATTGGTAATCATTACTTGACAGAATATTGATATTTTGAAATTAAGTAATTTTATTTTTCAGGTTCCTTTGTTTTTTTTCCCGATTCTTTTATTTATTAACTGAAATATTTATTATCCTGGAATTATATAATGTACTGTTCATTAACATTAATTTCAAGTACTGGCCAGGCACATATTTCTTTACTGTGTTTTGGTAAGTTATCAACTTTGTACCATTAGTTTGAAAGTCACACTTTGGATTTCTGTGGTTGTGGCAAGTTACTTTAGACTGTTACAAACTAACTCACTGTTAAAACTAATCTGCCACTTAATTGATAAATTTCCTCCCAAATCTAAAACACAAACTGAAAACTGGTAGGTTAACTTACTTGTTATTAAAGTAATCGATTGAAAACAACATAACAGACTCGCAAGCTAACTCACTGAGTGACTAATCAACAATAAATCTCTGGTATTTTAATATATTACAATCATGTTTGATGGGACGTGGATTCTAGCTTATGATCTATCCACCTGGCCATGCCAGGCCTTGGAGAAGTTAAGTAAATTTCATCTATATTGATTGTTATACATAGATCATAGATAAAGTCTCCAATGGAAGACTTGTGTCATTATTAATTAGTGTGAAACTAATGCTTGTGAGATAAAAGCATGCATGATAAAACAGATATCTCACAGGTGTAAGGAGGTGTAATTGGCTTACAGGACTGCATTACACAAGTATATACATATTATATTTACCTGGAATGAAAATTTACTTGTGTCTGCTACTGTATGAGTTAACCCTAACGAGTAAATTTTAACATAGAAACTTAAAAAGTTGAAAAGTTTTACATATTTCAGAACCACTGAATAATCAAAAGTCCACTAACCTTCTTTCTAGGTAGGACCACAAACTCGTCCAAATTAGTTTTACAGCCAAGAACTATTGCCAAGTTAGACAACATTACTAGACATAACGAAAGAATGCTCAAAAACGTTAACACCTGATAGACTTCTAAATCCCATCTTCCAACCTAGAGACAAAAAAAATACAATATGTTACCCACTAACTGTTACTTGTCATCAACATTTTTTTAATAGATCAATCTTGAATATAAAAAATATGAAATCAAAGTTAATTTTAGAGAGAGAAGTAGATTTTGTAAGTTTATTATATGGAAGTTTTACATATAAGGATTTGTTTTTAGCAAATTACAGGACAATACAACTACAGTACTTCCAACGAAACACAGGATCATTACGTAAACTACTAACATCTAATAACTACAGTACTTCCAATGAAACACAGGGTCATTACGTAAACTACTAACATCTAGGAATTTATTATATTTAAAGCAATCAATTGATGATGAGATTAGTTTAAAAAAAAAAAAAAACTTAAATCTTAGCAAACATAAACAATTTATAAACTGTTATGTTAATATCATTTATAACGTTTATGAAGGACCAAAATGTTATTCCAATATTATGTCAAAAAAATAACGTATGCATAAATAGATCACATGTCTAGGTACTTACAAAAGACCCAATCAGATTTTGCTAGTTGATAGTTGGTCATTATGGTTGCAGAATGAGATTAAATTGGATCCAAATATTGGTAGGGGTATTTTACAGATATGGCTCTTTACCTATTGTTTAAAACGTGTGTTTAAACACCGTTCTTCTCACTTGTAAGTGAAGAAAGGTTACGTTTGGTCAACAGTTCATTGTTTGTTTGTTTTGAATTTTGCACAAAGCTACACAAGGACTATCTGTGCTAGCCGTCCTTAATTTAGCAGTGTAAGACTAGAGGGAAGGCAGCTAGTCATCACCACCCACCGCCAACTCTTGGGCTACTCTTTTACTAAGGCATAGTAGGATTGACCATCACATTATAATGCCCCCACGGCTGAAAGGGCAAGCATGTTTGGTGGGACAGGGAATCGAACTCGCGACCCGCAGATTGCGAGTTGAGCTCTCTAACCACCTGGCCTTAACAGTTCATTCCCACTGATATGTAAATCATATTTCTGCAGACACTTCCAAAACCAAGATCAATTTTATATTTTGCCATCATATAAACTTGTATCCTGGTGTTACAATTTACTGTTATTTTTTAATATGAGGAAAGTCCCTTAAATTGGTATTTGTTTATTATCAGAAAATTGAGCAGGCTGTTCTTAATGCTTTCCTTCATTTTAACATAAGATTTTAATTAGGTATACCTCTTGTTCTTTATATATATATATATACTCACTGATAACAAAGATCCTTCAAGGTTGTCCTTACATACCTATACTTATTTACAAATTTAAGCCCACCCTAATATTTTTAATGAAGTCAGTTATTTCCTTCTTAAACCTGTAAAGTGCTGGTCTCATTACCAAAGGCAACTCATTCCTATGTCTTAAACAATCCGTCTTAATTGGCTTCGAGCTTGTATTTTCCAAATGTTAAATCTGTGTTCTCTCTCTCTCTCTGTACTATATCTGAATATAGAATGTAGCACAGAGCAACCTGAGGTCTTTATCAAATCAATCCCTGGGATAATATTCTAGCTTCGAATAAGATTACATCTTACCCTTCTAAATTAAGAGATCTTAACCCATAAGATAACCTTTGGAATCATCCTAGTTACTCTCGTCTGAACCTTTACAAGTAAGTCAGTACATTTTCTTAGATGAGGAGATCAAAACTGTACACAGTATTCCAAACGAGGCCTAGCTAGGAATTTATATAATTACTTCTACTAAAACTCCGTTAGTTTTTTACTAGTAGCAACAGAACACTGTTTCAATGGCTTGAGTAACTCATCCAAACACTATACCACAATTCTTCTTCTTCAGACAAGCTACCAAGTTGATTTCTATGTATATTAAAGGTGTGATCCAAATTATGATACCCTAAAATGCATTACCTAGCACTTATTATAATTAAAGACCATTTGTCAAATATCAGTCCAACTTGATCAAAAGCATTCAGTTATATCTCAATTACAGTTAAACATTTGAATAAAGAAGCACATTATGCTTATATAATATTAGGCATAATATAAGCATAAGGAAGAATTGTATTGATGTTGGAACACACTACATGTTTCAATAGAGCATTGGTCTCTCTACTTGAAGTATGAGATGTACAAAGCAACACAAGGTTTATATATCGTACAGCGTTGGTCTCTCTTCTTCAAGTATGATATGTACGAAGCAACACAAGGTTTATATATCATACAGCGTTGGTCTCTCTTCTTCAAGTATGATATGTACGAAGCAACACAAGGTTTATATATCGTACAGCTTTGGTCTAAGTATGATATGTACGAAGCAAACGATATATAAACCTTGTGACAGCGTTGATCTCTCTTCTTCAAGTATGATATGTACGAAACAACACAAGGTTTATATATTGTACAAAGACAAAAGGATTAAATGTGATCGAAATGGCATCAACAGGTGACAGGATATAGGTAAAGGTCAAGTCTGATCAGGGTGTATGGGAAGTAAATAAACCTTGCCAAATATGGTTGATGTTACTGGGCGATTATCATGGTTTTGTGACTGTTTGCTTTGGTGATTTTAAACAGTTTCTAAGTACACTTTCTTTTTAAGGTCTGGATTGGTAAAGGAGAGGAAGCTCATCTGAAAGTATTTTGCGACCTGTTTCGTATTGATGACATGTTAAGGCGGATATCAGAAACTCGCCTATATGCTCGTGACTTTGGTGTTTTTTTGCTTCTTATTTCCTATGTATTTCTTTCCACATTCACGTGGGATACTATATATGCCTTACTTTTGTTCTTTTAGTAGGGATTCTTTTGGATAAGGAATTAAGGTGTTAATTTTAAGTAAAGATTTTAATACAGTTTTTACATCACTGCTCAAATCATTAAAAAGTTTAGTCATTTCTTCAGCAAATTCAGGGAATGAAACAAGTTTGTTATGTTTCGTGGTGTTTATAGGTGAAAGGTTAGAGTTAACATAGTATTTGTCACTATTTTGAAGCTCGATACAAGCTTACGGCAAACATTAAATGTCTTTTGTAGACAAAAAAAAATTCAGAATATTTAATTAAGTAATTTTTTACTAAACCTTTGTCTATAATTAAAAGAAGTCAGAGTGTTCACCACTCTGAATGTAAAGTTGCTTTCATGTTAAGATTAAAAACACTTTTCTTCATCTGAAAATATTCATATTTCATTTGCATAGTCTCTAAAACCTCCTAAATAAATATCAATCATTTTTTTTCAGAAACACTTTATATTTTATCTGTTATGTTCTAGAGCTTCATATGGGGGTCGGTCGATGTAACCGACGTCATAACCATCATAAAAAATTAGAAAATAAATCTAAATTACTCTTTTTTTGCTTTCTGAAATGACTGCAAGTTGCAACAGGAAACTACAAATTTTTATCCTAAATAGTTCAAAGCCTGTAACACTATACATCTATTTATATTTAATTTTATTGCCCTTTGAACTGTATCTAACTAATAATCCCACCACACAAGTTGTAAATTACACAGATGATTATTTTATATGACACTAATCAATGTAATTGATGCTCTGAGATAAATTAATATATATATTGATTGAGTTAATCACCCAGCTCTAATTGTCGGGTGATTAACTCAATCAATATATATTAATTTACCTCAGTTAATGATCAGTTAGTACAGGTAGCTCTAATTGTCACCTGTACTAACTGATCATTAACTGATTTTTGTGGAGTTGTGTATGGATTATTGAATCATATGTAGATAAGAAATCGCTGTTAAATTCAAATTAGAAGTGCAAATATATAGCTTATTAATTAAATTTTTCATTGTGAGGATGTGTGTATAAGTAGAATATTTCACATTTTTTTATGTCTGGATTAACGAGAGCTCACTGTATCTGGAAGAACCACACCGTTAACATACTTACACAGTTTCTAAACCTGTTACCTCCTAGTGCTACCAGTGATATACTTAAGGAGTAATCCATGTTGAAATATAAAACTGACAGTCACAGATATATCGACTATCAACACACAATAATGAATTCTAAAAAACACTGTAAAACTAAAAATAAGTAATACATACGGCAACTTGTATTTTCTGATATGAATACCAGCAAAGTTGTAAGTTACAAAATCTAATTGAATCAATTCTTTTCAAATATTTTAACCTTTCTGATGTTGTGAAGTGGATTTCTTAAACTTTAAAGACTTTCTTTGGATGATTAAAAGTGCACTAATTCACATCCTGAATGATTGATCACTTATGATTTGAATTTACTTTGCATTCCTTCTACCGTTAAAACATAAGAAAAAGATCAAATTTACAACATTTTATTTATGCCAATGAATGAGTAAAGTGTAAATGGATAAGACTTATATTATTAAGTCAGATACTTAATTAAATTATTTCCTAGCATGATACTTACTCGCCCAATGCATGGTGAAGTATTGTTGAAAATAATATAACAAATGTATTATAAAGGATTGAGCTTATCAGTATTACATACATACAGGATCTTTACATACAGAAAGTACTTACAAAAATTTCTTTTTGTTCCAAAACTTTGATTATCTAACTTAAGATTCTGTAAATATGTGAAACAATATGGTTGTACGAATGTTTTAAACAATATGGTTGTACAAATGTTTTAAACAATATGTTTGTACAAATGTTTTAAACAATATAGTTGTACAAATGTTTTAAACAATATGTTTGTACAAATGTTTTAAACAATATAGTTGTACAAATGTTTTAAACAATATGTTTGTACAAATGTTTTAAACAATATGGTTGTACAAATGTTTTAAACAATATGTTTGTACAAATGTTTTAAACAATATGGTTGTACAAATGTTTTAAACAATATAGTTGTACAAATGTTTTATCATTACTTATATGGTAGTTTTGACCAGCAAATGCTAGTTGGTTGTTGAAAAAAGAAGATTATAAGTATGTGTAACTTTTAAAAATTTAATATAAAGGTATTCCATATATGGTCATTTCTGCATTTTTTTACATCACAATGTTATTGTTTGTGATATGCAAACACACTAACAATATTTTAATGACATATTATTCACCTGTTCCTTAAAAACAACTGTGCATGTCATTTTCAAGTTAACAATCAGATGTAGTACAACCTTTGTTGTAACAAACTCAGGATATCTTGGAAACACTGAAATGGCAAGATTTATAATTAATAGTGCATTTATTCTTTAAAGAAAGATAACCTATACTTAATACAAGTGAACAAATAGTTTTACAGTGTAGCACATTTCAAACACTGCTACTAATGGTACACATAACTAATAACCATCAGAAAAATAATAACTTCTAACTATAATTATTCTTATGAAGTAGGAAAAAAATTCAGATGCTACCAATAAGGATTCAATCTGAACAATAAATAAAGCAAAAGGATACATGACTAGATGGGCAAAAAAAGTAATAATTAAGTAAAAAAATAAAACCTGCCAGAATAAAGAAGCAGCCAGTGTCCTGGGTTCTTGGAAATATTACTTAATATTTCTAGAAATGCTTTTCTTTTATTTTAGTTTTTTCTATAAAATGACTTAATATTGGAGACAAGATGAATTTCTTTGTTACAGTAACTTTCTTTTTCCAGCTCTATGAGGAAACAAGATATATTTCCAAATGTAGGCATTTCTTCATGAGTAGAATGGAAATGAGGAGGAGATTAAAAAGGTTCTCAAGTAATCTTTAATAACGTAATAAATATTTAACGATGAACGGGTTTCTACAGTAGCTTATCCTGGCTTCATTAAGCCAGGAGTACAGTTAACAATATTTAGACAATTAGGCGAGATGAGACACAGAAACGTAGGAGGAGGTTGAGATAAATGGGAAGCCAACAAAGATAATGATTTATGCAGATGAGTGGACTCAACTTGGGCCTCCAACGAGTCAGGAAAATCCCCGAACACCTCTTCCAGTAAAAACAAAGGTACCATGCACACATTGCGCAAGGAGGTAGTGGGTAAACGTACTCGAGATAGAATGTCATCCTACCCGAGAAGGTCCAACAGCATGTTGGCCATGTCTGAAGAGTCAGAGCCAAAATGAAAGATGTGCCATTGTAGTAAGTAGAAGACCCTTCAGGAAACAAGTAAATTGCCTGAGCCAGCAAGTGCATAGTTGATAATACTTGCAGAATTGTATACAACATCAGTTTCATACAGGAAAATTGAGGTTGTGAAAAATTCAACAGTGAATTAGGATTCGAACACAACAATGTAATGAGAGATTCCAAATGTTGGGAATCAAGATAAGGGAAGGAAGATTTATGAAGTTGATCCCTAAAATCCTGGGCATGATCCCCAATATCGGGTGAGGGAGGGAACAGTAAATGTTGGCCCATAGATGCTTCACTATAGAGGGCAGGTTGAGAATGACAGGAAACAATAGATAAGGATAAGACAGCACAAATCTGATTTGCTAATTCCACAAAGAGTGAAAGAGGTCTGGAAAATTCCCCAGACATCCGTGTCAGACACCCCAGGAGCAGACAGGACAGGATATTCCTCATGTGGTGGTGAAAGTGGACATTTCTCGTCAAATAATTTACACCATATCTTCGGCCGATAACTGAGTACTGAACCCAGTTGTAGTTGTAGTTGGGAAACCTGCAGAAGCAGTAACAGCTGTGGAAGTTGTAACTACCTGAAACTTCACACGTGCATATATAGCAAAAATTACAAAAAATATGTATATGAGAGAGAAAGAAAAAGTTGGAAATAGCAATTCAAAAACATGAAAAACTAACAAAATATTAAAGAAAAATAAAGACTGTAGTATAATGAAAAACATCATCAAATTTGCGAGCAGAAAACAAGTACGTATGTACAGTACTACTGCCAATCAAGAAGTCATTAACAAATGTGGAGAGGACTCCGGTTACGATAGGGGTTGTGTCGCACTCCTATTGGTGGAAAGCTGATGCATAATCATTTACACATGGACATGCAGAAGTGGGAGGTGCAAGGCTAGTGGCGAGCATTGAAAATTTGTGCCAATAAAGGGCAGTAATAATCAAGAAGACAAATTTATTTTGTGAGTTGGGGTAAGATATTGTATCGGAAATTATTGATCAGAACGTTCCATTTCTTACATCCAACGAGACTTAACTTTTTTTTAGTTTCCTCAATTATCTCCATTATATATTTACCTATTGAAGAAGTTACGTAGCTGCAAAAATAGCATGAAACATTTATAGACAGTAAATGTTGACTGGTAGAAACACAACTTGTACTTGTATTCTAGGCCTACAGTGATATTTTCCAACTTTATTTTTGATTAAGTTCAACTTCTCTGTAATGATTATAGTTTGCTTTCAATAGTTAAGGAGGTCTTGTACTTGTATTCTAGGCCTACAGTGATATTTTCCAACTTTATTTTTGATTAAGTTTAGCTTCTCTGTAATGATTATAGTTTGCTTTCAATAGTTAAGGAGTTCTTGTACTTGTATTCTAGGCCTACAGAGGTCTTGTACTTGTACGTGTTATTTGAGTAATAATAAATTTACTAACACATAAATAAAAATAACTTTTATGTCATCTAAGTAGTTTGCTCACTAATCTTCAATATGTTTTCCTACATAAGAATATTCCTGTAGTTTTAAAACATGTTAAAAATATTATTAAGAAGAAAACGACTATCAAAAAAGAAACTACAAAAAAAAATCTTATGTTTGTCACTAGTTTCCAAGTTTTTTTTAAATTTCAACTTAGAATCGTTTGTTCTCCACCAAGAGAACTTCCATTACTCACTTCACCAAAAAACCCTGCTTGAATCTTGTTTACCCAGTCATTTTTAGACCACTGGTTCTATCGTGTTTTGAGGCAAAAATTTATTAGTTACTGTCCAATCAACTTGATGAGGCATCATAAAAGATTCAATACACAGAGTTCTTGAATAGTGACTGAGAGAAAAGAAGCACATTAGAAATGAAACCTTGGCTAAGCCTAAATATCCCTTGAAGATGCACAGTGAAAAAAAGTTCAGGCTTTAACAATTTCTTCTTTACAAAGAATATTTAACAAGGTTTACAAAGTTACAGAACATCACTTTTTTGATATGTTTGAATGGACTAATTGTTGAAATACCATTAGAAATAATATTTTTACTTAAATTGTGAAATTCGACATGCAAGCTTGCCCTCTGGTTCTAATATGTTTAATTGTGTCAAGTTCTTGGAATCAAAAATACCAGAACAACAGTCCTTCATCCATCTTCTGATGGAATGATGAAGTACAATGTGTACTTTTGAATCAGTTAGCCATTTATATGCGTGAACATCAGAGAATAAGAGATTAAGAATTTTTCAGTCCTATTCATGAGTTATTAAACAGCTACAGGTAACACACCAGCATCAATGATGTCTGGGAGAGAGAACTGAAAGTTCCATTGGACATTCTGTACTCACAACCTGAGGACCATCACTCAGCATAGTCTTACAGAAAATCTATAGAAAGTAGTAATAGTAACAGTTAGTAATAAGACAAAAAGTTGTAATAATGTAACTGCTAAGAAGCCTGGATTTCAGTGTGGTGACATGCCATGGGTAGCCTACACTGTCAGAGGACCATCTCTAAAGTTAATCCTTTAAAACCTGTTCATAGGTATAATAACATTTTGTGATCTTTTTTTTTTTTTTTGTTGGTAGAAATTAATAACACGTAATAATTACCATATGTGAAACACAGACACTTCAAAAATACAGAATGATAACTATGTGGCCCTTTTAAGATACAAATTTGATCATTTTGGTCAATTTATGGTTTATAATATAATACAGTTCACTACATAACCTGGCTATTTTCTAAACCATTATGCGTTACTCGTGTAACCAGTGACCCAAAATCCAGTTTTCATGCATATACTAAAGTAGGCCTAATGACACCATGCACTAGGCTAAAGTATTAACATTAATATATAAATCATATCTATATCCTTCTATTTTATATATAAAACTTATCCATGTCCTTCTTTTCCTAATTTAGATAACATATATTCATAAACCTATTTTGCATCTTTATCTTAAATAAAAACATGTCTAAACAAAGTAAGTGTCAAGAAAACTAATAAGCCTTTATTGGAATGCTAGCACTCACAGGGTTTACTGCACATGAAAAATGTGTCACCATCCCATTGGTGGAAGGCTATAGTCTAGTGATGATTAGTCAGTAATATACGTAGGGATGGGAGTTTCGTTCAAGGCTTACGGAATACACAACAAATCCTGAAGTTTATGCGAGGTAATAGCTCTGGCTATAGGTGAGTAGCATTCCTGAATGCTTCTGTTATCATTAAGTGGCCCGGACTTTGCCCTGTCATTTTTACTGAACAATCCAAACGTATTTGCCCAGTAATAGAAACCATTATAAAATTACAAGAAACGTACGAGGGATAATATAATATGTTACTTAACTGAAGTGAACTCAATACTTTAATTCAATAGAAGAAACTAAACTGTCATATTAATAAGTCACATATTTGCAACAACTTTTACTTTGGGTTTATGACTGTAAGACTTATAGTCATCTCTTGATATCGGCACAAAGTCCAGCAATAAATTTTCTCTACCTGTCATTCCCACATCCAGAAAGTAACTGAAGAAAGTCTACCATAATCTACAACTTCTTTGATTAATTTAGTGTATATTAAATTTACATTATACATAATTATTAATTAAGCTGTGGTTAATTAAAAGTAATTATTTTTGTGCCATAAGCTCTAGTTACAGACTACATAAATTTTATCATTTAAGTTTAATTAGCTTCTAATTGTTAAACATACTTTATGTTGAGAAAAAGGAAACCGTAAATCTTTTAACTTATGATTATTTATCGTTATGTTTTTTTTTTTATTATTTGCATCAAAACTTAAATTTTTATCACAGGAACTTACCGTTTTGAGAGCGAGGTATCGGGCTTAAAAGTTCTAAGTCTCTGTAATTGAAGGCAGTTAGCATACAAATTGATCAATTGCTTATACCTAGATCTAAAGCAATTCTATGTTTTATTTAAGAATCTACATTGTTTTCAATTTTGTTTTATTATCAATTCTATGTTCCAGCTTTATTTTATGCAAGTAAATTATCAAGTTGAAATTTTTGATAAAAAAAGCTTTTTTTATTGTAAAAAAACAAATATCTATAGGTAATCAAAACACACACGGTATGCATTTTACTGATATCCCTGGTCTGTAAAATACTATGCACAAATTAAAACATTCACATTTTTCGTATATCGTTAAAGAATAGTGTACGTGATTGTTAATATATTGTCCCAAATTTTCATTTCACAACTAGTTTTCATTCACAGAAAGTTAACATTTTCCTTACCTGAAAATATAATTCGTAAACACACCTCCTGAATCTACTTTTGAAATTATGTACACACTACTAGTCTTGAGCTATCTCTCTGACTTAAGACTAATGTTTTAACACGAACTGAATGTAATCAACGTGCAACAGTAGTCTTCCACCAGTATGAGGGCAACATTATCCTCCATGAAGGGCAACATATCCTCTATGATCAGTAGATGCCAATAAGCACTTGCACTCAAAATCAACTTAATTCTTAGACAAGGCCAGAATAATGCACACCGATAGTGAAAAGAAAGGGTGGGAAGGTGTGCATAAGCACTTGCATTCAAAATCAACTTAATTCTTAGACAAGGCCAGAATAATGCACACCGATAGTGAAAATAAAGGGTGGGAAGGTGTGCATAGGGGTAATTATTTTTGGGAAATACATTTTTAAATAAGGAAAATGTCAACTTCTGAAATGATAGCCTTACATATCTTAACACAATAGCTAGAATCCCACACTGATATGATAGAGTGGCCAGTGGAATTGTAAATTCAGAGAAGGTAACCAAAGAGGAAAGCCCATGGAGTGCAACACCCTATAGTGGGGGTTTACTAGAAGGGCATCACTCAAAGGAGATTGCATCCATCTCATGCAAGGTATACTCTTCACTTGGATGGAAATATTAATTAGGAAAATAAATAATCAAAATATGTAGAAAATCTACTAAAATGTAACTCTTGATCATCCATAGTCTGGGGGAAAAGGATCCAATGGAGAAGAAGAAACCCTCCACCTTGAACTGAGGAACCACTAGAAAGTGGTTGACAAAAGAAAGGTCAATGACAGGATGCCAATCCAGACTCTTTCAGCAGACAACAAAAAAAGATAAGAGAAAAACCACGTAGAGGGGCAAAGGACCCTCTCAAAAGATCTCTCATCCAAAAGATCTGATACAACAGCCTTGAGATGCAGAAGATGCTGAGGACTGAAAGGATGAGGACAAGAACAGGAAAAAGGGTCAGAAGGGATGAGAAACGTTTTGTGTAAAAGCTGGAAAGGCTTCCGAGACAGCTGCAAATGGGGTTCAGAAACCTGCAAGGAGAAACAGATGTGCCCCCACATGGCCTGAGCTGACTGAATACAAAGGGAGAACCCTGACAAGATGTGCAATGGTAACTTGATGGGATTGGAGATAGGGAGAAGAAAAAGAGGGATGAGAGCTAGGAAAAGGAGAGAGAGATGGAGGGTTCACAGAGTAAAGGAACATGTACCGAGTCATTAGGCTAGCAGAGATGAGAAACCGAGGAGAAAAGGAAGAACTCGTGTTGGGCAGCCTTAGCCAGTGGCTTCCAGCTGTTAGAAATACCAATAAAGACCTCAGAGTGAAGATCAGGAGCCATATGGAGATCACCGGACGGAGAAGACGTACATCAGCAGAGAGAAGAACATCACATTCCAGAATATCCATGCAACAGAGGAATGAAGAAAGCAGTGACAAAGAAGGAAATTAAATCTATGTCAAGGCACTAAAATTACCAACTGTAAGTCTCCAAAAAAACTATCAGGCTCATGGTCTAGAACTTCAGAGAGGGTTGATAACAAAGAAGATGGGTAAGGAAAAATACAAAGACGTGAAAATTTATCACTAGAGATAGATAATGTAAACAGGGCTCATTACCCTTAAGTGAGTGAATGAGATCTGACTGAATTGGGAATCCAAGAATTCAAAAGGGGAAATGCCACAAGACATGGTGAAGGAATCCTAGAATCGAGAAGAACAAGGCTTTTGAGAGTGTGAACAAAGCTGATCCAGAAAAGTGTCAACCTAAACACATATGTCTGGAAAAGGAGGAAAACCAAATAAACCTCAGCACAAGAGGCATTTAGTAAGGACTGGGGAGAATCAAAAGACACGGGTGAAAGAGAAAGTAAAGAAGAAACCTGAGAAATAAAATCCACAAAGAGATTTGGAGGAAGAACATTGACCTCAACAGAAAAAGCCGGCCCAAATCATCTAGCTTGCGGATGGGTTCAGAAAGTGGGGAATATACCACTGATGTAGAGATGGGAAGAGTAAGCAATGAAGACATTAACAAACCAATGACATGTTGCACAACGGCAGTACCGTTCTCTACAATTAATCAGCATCTAATGGCCACAAATAAAGTAGGATCAGTGTTAGCTACACTGCCAGGACCACGAGAAAAGGTAGTAGTCACCATCACTTCTGAATTAATTGTGATGAAAGGAATTTTCTATATACATATTTATTTTTAGCTCACAGAGTAACTGAAAGACAATATATGTTAAAATAAAATGAACAGAAGTTAATTCTGGATGAAAGGCAGCATAAATATCACTACAACAAATGAAGTTTATGTCTGTTCATGACAGTTGCCAAGGAAAATAATAAAGCTAATTTTGTATTCAAGTGCTGGGGGGTCTACTGACATATTCAAGTGCTTGGGGGAATCTACTGACATATTCAAGTGCTTGGGGGATTTACTGACATATTCAAGTGCTGGGGGGTCTACTGACATATTCAAGTGCTTGGGGGATCTACTGACATATTCAAGTGCTTGGGGGGGATCAACTGACATAGAGGATCATCTTCTCTTAGTGGAGGACTTCTGTCTCATGATGATTACATCATGCACTAGGCGAGCACAGTTCGTGTTAAAACACGTCTCAGGTACGCAATAACTCAAGGCATCTGCAAGATCTCAAAGGCAGGAGGAGGAATAATTATTAAGTTATTAAAAATATTTAAGCTGTATACTTCCTACATGACTGAAGCAGAAGCATTTGTAACTGAATAAAGTACTGATGATACATTTATCTGATGCTTTATTACAATGAACATACTGTAATACGAAATGCACTTACTCGTACTAGAATAAGAAAAGAAATGATCAGCCGAGAACTACGGCTTTCTGCTGTATCAACTCGTTACCTTAGCCTAACTACATCAATAATAAGGAGTGTTCTCGAAAGAGATTTATGTATCTCTAGGTTTGGGTGGGGAAAAATTCATAGTTGATATTTTTTAAAATTATTTATTAAAACTGTTACTAGGATGCATTTAAATATTTCCCTAATCAAAGTAATTAATTTTAGGATCTAATTTGAATATACAGATATACACACACACAGAGACTAAAAAAACATGAGTTTAACCATTTTTCGATTGGAGATGATAATGAAACTTTTGTTTTTCCTTTTTTCTGCCCACAGTAAAAGTGTAACATACTGTGTTCAATATTCACCTCAATTATATATGTATTACAACAGACGAACCTAATTTATAATCGGTGAAATTCTCGATGTAAAAAGGCTCTGTAACTTAACATTACACATGTTAAAATAATAATGCCCGAGAGTAATTCACACACACATTTGTATACTTACTCTAAGACGGTAAGCTTACAAAGAAATTATTTAATTTACTGTAGCATTTAAATTCAACTCTGAGAAAGCTTAGGCAGTTTTTATATCAATTATGAGATTAGGTTTCCAACAAGTCTGGTATCTTCCAGAGATTTTTAAAGTATTTTAGCCAAGAAGGAATTCAATATTACTTAAACTGAAATGATGTAATAACCTGATATTACATTATATGTAAGATATCTAGTAATACTGATCTATAAATACCAATAAACTGAATTATTTTATTTAATTACAGAGAAAATGACTTTAATTATAAATTCTTTGAAAACAAAAGATCACTTTATGCTTTTACAAGTGCAATTGTTTTTTAAATTTATCATTTACTAATTCTTTGATTATATGTTGTTGTTATTTTGAGGAACCCTAGACATTCTTAAAAGAATATATTACCTTCGTATGCCATAAGGATTGTCCAAACAAAGCTGTCAATAAATGAATGATCGTCATTGTGATCTGTGCTTCGGAAACATCAATTCTGGAAGATTAAAGTAAGGAAACATTGATAAATCTCTCTTTTTTTAAACAGAGAAACAATTAAGACATTAATAGTTTAACCCATACACTACTAAATAGCTTCCATAAAAAAAAAAACAATTTTTTTCATCTTCATTGCATCTTCATAATTGACGATGGAGAACTCCTGCTAGGAGCAGATTTATAATTTTTGTTGACAGTGCATTTTAATTTCAGCTATTAAGTTTTTCCAGTGAATGAAATCAACACATTCTTTTCTGGATTAAACATGTTAAATAGTAATATCCAACGTAAATACATTCAACAAAATTTATAATTTCAAGCATTGCTACGAGAGTTTTATCACATTAATCAAGCTACAAATTACACAGTTACCTAATATACTACATTATTAAACAGTACTTTCCATAGAATTACACACACACTAATTACCTAATACACTACATTATTAAACAGTACTTTCCATAGAATTACACACACTAATTACCTAATACACTACATTATTAAACAGTACTTTCCATAGAATGACACACACACTAATTACCTAATACACTACATTATTAAACAGTACTTTCCATAGAATTACACACACTAATTACCTAATACACTACATTATTAAACAGTACTTTCCATAGAATGACACACACACTAATTACCTAATACACTACATTATTAAACAGTACTTTCCATAG